TGAAGATTTCCAAAAAAAAGTGCCAATTCAGACGTTTTCTGTGCATGCATCCGGCACTACCGACACTACTCCAATAATTCTGTCTCATTTATTCTCACTTTAGTGTGCTCATGAAATCACTTAATTAACTGCACTAATCACGTTAAAGAAACAAAAATCTCGAATTGTATCTAGTCTCTATGCAACAATCAACTTTTTTTGCGCATTTTTCCTTAATCACAGAAGGATAAGTTTCTAGATTTTTTCGACATTTCTGTTGCCTTAGAAATTGTGTTTCACATTCATTAAATGGTCGCTAGATGGAAAAAAAAACACTCAACGATCCTCGAATTTACTGATTGTTAGGATGAAAAACGTGGCTATTGTTTTAAAAGTTGACCTCACTAATGCTTTTGCACAGCCCACTTGAATGGTTGCATCATGCAATTAGGGCTCGGCGCAAGCAACTATACAAATGACCCTAGTGTTTTGTTATCCACGCATTGACATTGTCACATGCAAATTATGAACTCTGCAGTCATCTGCGTTGGACTGATGTCGATTGTTGTTTACGTCTAATGGCCAAGTGCTATTTTCGCAGTTGCATTAGTTAATTTCCTACGAATAAAGTTACTTGAAACGTGCGATTTAGTTGTTACGTTTACTTGATCAGCTTCGAGAGAGTCTGATATCTGAAACGATACATAAGCAAAGACAAAAATTTAATGATTTAGTTGATGTGTTGTCTTCATGAATTGACATTTTTCACCATTCATCTTTGCTTGATTGACCTTTGCAACGGATGTGAAATATACATCACAATATGTATAACGTTTTTAAATGACTGTTACTCCAAGACGGTAATGACTTTGATAGGTATGACGTTCATTTTTTCACATATTTTGCGTTCGTCATCCTTTCTGTTTGCAGTAACCAATTAGATGCGGTGCAGCATTCGGTACTCGAATCATCGATGTATGGGAGCTGTTCTGAATTCAACATTATTCGTTAGGTGTACAGCTTGAATTATAAGTGACATCCATCCCCGGTGAGAAAATTAATTTAGGCTGACGAGGAAAGGTCATGAACTTACCTCCACGTTTCGGGACGAGATATACACATGCTATTTATCTAGTATAAGAATTATTCCAAATTCAAAAGATATTTTCTTTTACTAGGCCAACAACGTCTCTTTTTTTGCTAGATGTCTCTCAAAATACAACGCAATTCATCCACCCCCACATGGAGGAAATGATTAACTCCTTTACGTAAGTTCTCCTCTAAATACGTAATTCATCCGACGATGAAGGCTCTCTCATACAATTACCATTTATGGGTTTCCAGTTGAGCGATTGGAAAGTGAGCTGTCACCATCGGATTACTGGGATTATGATGAATGCTTCCCACAATTGAATGTTTTGAGTTTTTTTTTTCTCTTAATCAAGCGAACATAAAATTCATATTGCTAATCGCATCGCAATATTCTTTTGCAATAAAACTCAGCTCAATTAGATAGATACGTAAATGTGTGGTGAATGAATCTCATTCAGTAATTAAAATGCACACATTCATTCATCTCATAGTATCATTCCAGGTGTCTAAAGAAAATTTGTTCAGCAGATGGGAAAAAAGACAATAATTTGATTAATTACTTGACGGCTTTAACCGAAATTCACTTGCTGTTCAGCCTACTCAAAATAGATGCCAACCAATCCTGCACCACAATTATTTTCTCATGCAGTCGTATGCATGCCTAAAACCTTAAACCACTAAATTAGTGGCAAGCGATCTTGTGATGAGACTCGCTTATCTTTAGTTTGTTTGCAGTACTTCTGCTGTAATAAACAAACTAAATTTTTAACTCATGCACCAGTGACAATAATATTCGTTGAGGTTCGACACTTTCACCGCATATAACAATAACAGTGATAATCCTTGAGGTCTATATTGAATTTGATGCCACTCAAAACTTTCTCAAATTCTGATACCACTCGAATATTTGATACCACTCAAAAATTACGTGTGAAAAAAAAGCATATCTGAGCACACACTTATTCACGATATTTGGGAAGACCCGCTGAAGAACACTGATAAAGTCTTTGGATTTTGTATGAACGAACATCTAAGAAATGAGATCGATGGAAACGTGACGGGCGTAAGTGCGTAATTATTCACCATATAGGAAGGTTTACGACCGTAAATTATTCCTTCGAGAAGCATTTCTTGAAGAGTACAATATTCAGATACTACGGGGCATGCACAGTTTGGTTACTGCATGAATCTTCGAACAGTTTTTTCAGCAAGTCGATTTGGAATCTGAGGAATTTTATCGCACTTAATTTATCGCTCAATTGATTACATAATACTAAGAAGTTATTTTTTCAATCAGAATTACAGAAAACTTTCCAACCAATAAGGAATGAACAATTAATTTTCGTCTGATTTTATCGCTCACTACCGACCATCGAACACTTAAAAAGAAATTGATCAGATGATTGTATTTGATAGGATGTCGGACGAACATTTAAAAGGCTTCCTCAAAATGACTGTATATTTAGTTAGCTTTAAAGGATCAAGCAGCAGTCGGTTAGTGGGAAAAAATTGCGCAGTTGATGGGATTAAATGAAGTGAGTGGCTGTAATATATCCACCGTAAAATATGATGAATGAAAGCAGTGTAAGCAAATGCCTTCAGATGATCTCGAATGAAATTAAATCTAGGCAAACTAATGCACTAATATATCATCATAAGTGCAATAAAAGAAACTATGATTAAGTTTAATCAGTTGCAGGTTATTTGGATAGCGATGTGTCACTGAACGATTATGTTAACAGTAATGATGACGGTAAAGCAACAACAGCAAGCGATGAGTGCATGACAGATGCAGCCGCTGAGCAAGAACACGTTGNCGTTGGTTTGGATAATAATATCCACAAATATAACAACTCAGAGCAAGAATCGATTGCTGATGACATTAGTGGTCGTCGTGTTCATATAGTTGAATATAGCGATAGCACAAGTATTAGTGAAAGCGCTAGTATGAGCATGACGACATCCTCTAAAAGCATCACAAATCCAACTGATATTCACAGCCAATATAGCCATAGTCGCAGCAGCCAACAGCTGCAAGCACGCAGTGTGCTACAGCAGGAGCAACTAGAGCATATCGATTCAACGGCATTCAACGTCGAAAACGCATCGAATCCAGTGGAGTGCTGGACCACCTCTTCTGCATCGTCATCCTCTCGAGAAGAACCACCACCACCACCAACAGCAGCAGCATCAGCACTCTCGTCACCTACCACCACCACAACTGCTTCTGCCTCTGATACTGCTACTGCTGCTAACGTCCCCCTACAACCTGTTAATTCACAATTGCAGCAAGAGCAAGAGCCGGAGCCAACACTCCGCGCTCAGCTCGACATTCGCCCAGACGGACAGTCGACAACCCGAACAGTTTCTTTTGTCGACCACCCGAATCGAATACCATTCGCAGCTGTTGAACATTCTTCCACTCAACAAAACGGTGACTCTCAACCGTCTCCGCAGTTGACAGAGAGCAGCCTGTTCTCAGGTGTAGGTGGTAGAAATTTGGAAATAAGATCGTCTGTTGTTGAGANTCTTTCCCTTTGATCGGCTTTCTTGTGCACTTCACTCTTCATGCGTCATCATCCTCTTGTCAGTTTTTTTGAGCCTTTTCATCGCTTAATGTTTCAAAAAAGCATGGTTCCTTTTGCATCACGAAAGCGTGTTTGCAACTTCTTTTAACTGATTCAATTATGTCAACTCTTGTTTGTTTTGTCTGAAACACCGAAAAACTGATAACTGCAATAATTCAATTTCCTAACTCTATGCTATACACTGCATAAGTGCGATACTTTTGAAGCGATAAACTGTTTTCTAGTGGAATCAATCAAAAATAATCGAATCGAAAAATTATCCAAAATTTCCTCTCTGAATTCCCATCGGTCGCTCTCATATTTTCGATTCTATGACATCACTGTGGCGAGAAACAGATTCGGTGCTTGGAGAATCAATGCTGCATTAGTTCAGTTATTGACATTGCTGATGCGAAAACCTGTCAAATGCAGTCAGTCAGTCATTCGTTGATAAACTTACGAAGAAGGACTCTCCTAAAACATCGCTGCTATATCGAACACAAAAACATTCACTCTATTCACAGTTGATTGCTGTCTAAAGGAAATGATCATTGTCTTAAAGTATCGTCAATGGAGCGAGTAAACTGCATGTTAAAGCTGAATCTTGATAGATATGTAATGCTCGCAAGACGTTCCATTATTATTATTATTACTGGAATTGCACTTTTCTTTCATTCCTTTCTTCATGTGCCCTCGAAAACGCTCATCTAATCAAAAATAAATTACAATTAAACAAACATGTTGCAACAAAAGAGCGATTTTTTTGCGTCACTTGTTGAATACCATTCAAATTCGTGATCCTTGTCCCAATACATTATTGTCCTCTTACCATCATTGCTGATACTGTCTCATTTTTGAAGATAGTCGGAAGTGTATTGAGTAGGAAGACCATCAAAAGTCTTTCTTGAGAAACCAAATTATCATTTGAATGTTTTTTGACACTCATCATTTGCGTGTAAATTGTTGATTGGCATACAATGCACAGAGTTCATTAGAATTGCATGGAATAATTAAAGAGAGACGAGAGATATGATATTACAATGCATCACACACAATCCTCATCCGGATAGCATTTCATAAATTTAACGAAGAAGAACTGCAATTGTTGACTCATTAGTTCGTAATTTTGGCGTCTTTTATCGCACGCACATGCTCGTATATTAACGGTCACTTCGATATGAGCGCCACTCAAAATGAGAAATCGCTATAACGCAACAACTCGAAAATTATTCATGCAGCAGCAGTTGGTGACACAACACTTATTGGTAATTATGAATTCACTCGTAAACGTCTACTGTGCGCATGAACGCAATTTTCGTCTCATTCCCGTCAGAATGTACAGTACAGAATTTTTCTTACTGGTTTTGAGTTAACCAGAAAAAAACATGTCGAATTTGTGAAAGGATCTTCGAAAGCATTACAAATTGATGCAGAAAATGATTTCATCAGTTGCGATAGGCTACGTAGTGAAGCTCTGATCTGTACCATTCTCTAAGGGTCGATATAATTAAAGGTGGGATAACTGAAAGTCAAAAGTCGACGATTTATTTATTTAACTCAAGAAAATTTTTAGTGTTATTTTGAATAAGGTTTAAGAACAGTGACAATACGCTTTGACTGTCACATCAAAAAAAGGATTCTAATTTCTATTCGAGTCACAACTCATCAAGTTCATTTCTTTTGGTTGTACGCGGCGATTCTTCAGGCCGAGAAAATTACACTTTCATTATCATTCGAAAAAAAACATCGATCGGTATTTTCTTCATATTTTACGAGCTCAAGAAATTATTTCTTCGCGATGATTCCTTTTCAATGTAGAAATGATGCGTCAGTATGACTCGAAAACACTGCTTCACCTATATTGTCATTAATTTTTTCTATCGACGATGTTTTCTCAAGGTCTCTGTCGCAAAAAGAAAAAA